CTTTTTCATGGATTGGAAAACTAACATCATTAAAATGTCCATACTACCCAAAGCAATCTATAGATTCAATGCAATCCCCATCAAAATACCAACAACATACCTCACAGAACTAGAACAAATACTTCAAAAGTTCATATGGAACCAAAAAAGACCTCGAATAGCCACAGCAATCTTGAGAAAGAAGAACAAAGTTGGAGGGATCACATTCCACTTCTACTTTAATGGAGCAGTTTGCCCTCTGAGATGAAGGGTTTTCCTATTGTCATTCTGAAAGCCATTTTCTAAAGCAGGAAGGTCTGCTGTTCCCAGCACTGCCTGTGACTCTGGGGTTGGGGCAGCATTAGGAGTCTTATCTGGTCACAGGTTAAAGACTCCGATTAGTGGATATGCACCAATCTCCATGACTCCCTTCTTCTGGTTTTTAATTTGATAACAGGGTGTCTAATCAACCTTTAAAACCCTAACAACAGTGAGAATTAATTACAATACCCGTGTGACAGAACAGGTACAAATGTCAATTTTAATTTTAAGAACATTTCTCCATTATAATACAGCCAGATATTCTTTTTCTCCCCATTGCTAATAACAGATGGAGTAAAATAAGATAAACATAATATGTGAAACCACTTAGTAACTGTGTTGCTTTCCTAGCTGTCCAATTTCTGCTGTCAACTTCTCAACCCAATGCCTCCTTGACCCCCTGCAACACCACACACACACACACCCTCCCTTCTTGTCTCCAATGTTACAAAGAAAAAAGAAAAGAGTGACTATCAAGTGAGTTTCCCATTTTCAAACATTTAAACATATCCACCTCCACCTCTGACTGATTTTTTTTTTTTTTAGTTTCTGTTCCAATTCTGGTGTTAACCTCCTCAGCTTGCTCCCTCCAAGTACACTTTGTCACCTATTCCCACAGTTTGAGGGACTTTATACTATTAATTGTATCTCCTTCATTTTTTTAAATTCTCCTATCCTGCCTAGATCCTAAAATTAACCAATTAAATAAACCTCTGTGGGTGGCCTCTACATGCAATATGTAAATCCCATCAGTCATTAAAGAAAAATGTGAAGATAAAGTTTGGCATTGTTCAAAATGCCATAAATAAAATAAAATAAAATAAAAATTAAATGACAGCAGGAAAAATAATTGCTATACATGTCAATGAACTACTATCCTCAATTTATAAAGTGTTTTTATGTAAATCGGCAATTTTCAACGGGTGTGCCACAAGATTTCTAAAACATGAATACCTGAGTATTTAGTCAGGGGCATTGACCTCTTTTCCCTCAGACTGTCAAATAAAAAATTGACAATAGCCAACACAATAATCATCCTGTGTGCGTGAATCAAAATTATACCTATTTTTTGTTATATGAACAAAAAATATAAAATACTTTTTGGTGTGCCACAGAATTCTATCAATTAGTTTATGTGTGCCATGAGATGGAAATGGTTTAAAATCACTGAGGTGAATCACTAAGAAAAATAAACATTTAAAAAAATGGGCCAAATGCATACTTAAGCAGCTTGTAGAAAAAAATAAATATATATCACTTATTGACATATCGAAGATGTATAATCTCAGTCATAATTGAAGAACTAAAAATAAAAAAATGTTGCCAATTTCAGCTATAAGTTAGCAAATACGACACAATTTATTAATACCCTGTGGAAATATACATGCTTTTTACTGTATAGCTTTGTTCACCTTTAAATTACTTTTTGTGATCATAATTTACATTTTTTGAAAAAATAAAAATGTCATGTTAAAAAATCTTTCTCTTGCCCTGATTTTTCCTCAAGATAAAATTTTATCACTCTCCATTCCTCATTAGATTAACGTTGCAAACACTGGCTTTTATGTATGCCATGGGTTTATTTTCTATCTCATAATCACTTCTTAGCTACTTTATGCTGAATCTGCTTTTATTTCTCCATGCAGTCATCTCTTGCCAAACCATTAATTACTTCCATCTCAATAAATCCAAAGACCTGTTCTGTATTGTTTTCACTTGATCTCTGAGAATCATTTGACACTGGTGGTCTCTCCTTCAAACACCCTTCCTTCCACTGGCTGGATGACAAGACACTCTCTGGGTTTTCCTCCTATATCTCTGGATTTCCCTCTTCTTCTCTCCTTATCATGTTTATCTTTTTTCCAATTTTGAGGTACCTCAAAGCTAAGTTTTTAGACTTTCTCTCTTTTAATTCCATACTCTTATCTTCCATTCATAAATCTGAATTACTAAGATGACTCACTTATTTTTATTTACAGTCTCTATATCTCTTTTGAGCTCTTGCTTTATTGACTATTTTTATATTTGAAATGCACATTAAGTCAACTTATCCAAAATTAAACTTATGATCTCCTCTCTACCTCATACATAACCTTTCCCAATTGTCTCCATTTCACTCAAGGTACCATCATTCATGTTGTTATACAACATAAGAATCTAGGAATCATTTGACATCCCCGCCCCCCCGACCCCTCCACAATACTCAACACATCTGTAGTTCCTACATTTTTTTCAACTTGTACATAATATACAATAAGTTGAACATATTTAATGTATATGTTTTGATGACTTTGCGTATACCCCTAATACCATCTCCACAAACAAGGTAATAAGCATACATCAAGTAGCTCTTGGTCTGCCACTTTTTCATCACCCACATTGCCTTAGTCAATAGTATAATTTTTGTTAGACACTGATCCTCTGTATCTGCCTTAACTCATCCAATCCATAATCCATATCCCAGATTTATCTTTTGGAAAATCACACCTGTCTTAGCTCCACAAAATAAATTTTTATCCAATAACGGAATAAACATCAAAATACTACAAGGCTGGAAATATTGTCTCCTTGGCTCCTTCCCAAATTTTTCACCTATGCTCCCCTTATTTTGTACACATCCCATATACTTCAGAAAATTGTGCATATCATCCTAGGGATACACATGTAAACAATTGGCTTTTTATAGAAAGAACATTACGCAATTAGTCTGCCCTTCCTGTAGATAAGCAGTAAGACAATTCCAGGCAAAATGGGGCACAGTTTACCTGCCTTATTTGTCTTATAAATACATCACTAAAATGTCTGTAATTTTCAAGGCATTTACTAGGCTTATTTAATTATCAAAAAATAACCTAAACTAGCAAAAACAAAAATAAACCAAAAGTAAACTGAGCTTATCAAACAAGTGTAGAAATATTTATGTTGTTAAAAAACATCTCTCATTGCCATATTGAGAATGACCACTGGAAGAGGAAATAGCGTGGTCTTGCCCAGTCATTTACTCTGAGTCTCAATTTTCTCCCCTATAAAATGGGCATATTAGTACCAAGCTAAAAGTTATCTAAAACTTTCCCTGGCTGGCTTGGCTCAGTGGCTAGAGCATAGGCCTGCGGACCAAAGAGTCCAGGGTTCGATTCCAGCCAAGGTCATGTACCTCAGTTGCGGTTTGTCACTGGCCCCAGTTGGGGTTGTGTAGGTGGCAACCAATCGAGATGTCTCTCTCACATCGATGTTTCTCTTTCTCTTTCTCTCTCCCTCTCTCCTGTTCTATCTGAAGATAAATGGAAAAATATCCTCCAGTGAGGATTAAAAAAAAAGTTATCTAAAACTTGACCTATCCAGTATTGCTCAGAACATTTAATTAGTGTCTTTGTCTCTGTCTCTCCTCCTTCTCTCTCCTCTCATTTCTTCTAATCCCCTCTCATCATCTCCTCTTCTTAATCCACCCCTCCTCTCCTTCCTACTGTCTTTTCTTCCCTTCTTGTCTACTAGCATATATAAGAATTCAAATGAAAATAACTTTTTTCACATAACAATTAAATGATACTGAGTTGCCCAAATGGAACATAAGTATACTTATTTTCAAATGGTTTTAATTTGAAATGAATACTCTGGAGCTATACAAGAATAAAGACTAATGTCTACTTCTAGTTAATAGCTACTATCATAGTTTACTAGAACAATTATTTGTAATTCAATCCACAAAGATATTTGAAAAATATTGATGTAGCATTACCTCCCACTAAGAAATACCACTTATAATTCTCAAGTATATTTGCAACGTAGTATATATTTTTTTTCTTACAGCCTGGTAACAATCATCATATTAAAGGACAGAGACCTAATTCAAATAGATAAATAATTTCAGTTAATCATAGACAAGATAAAGTGATCGTGACACAGTTAATATGCTAAAAGCGGTCCTTATATCCAAGTTTATATTCAGGTTTACAATTCATAAACAATATATCTCAAATAACATTTTCCAAGGTCAAGAACTAAAACACTGTATCCATCCTAGAAAAATAAGCCCCTATAGAGATGTCACTTTTTAAATTATTGATCCCATCCTGATGTCAGAGCCAAAGTGTTTGCAAAACTATTTCAGGGACCTGGACAGGACATTTTTATTGGCAGTGAGGCAGTACATCACCCAGATCTCAAATGAAAAGACCCAGTGGCCAGGTCTATATTATGCTAACATTCTATATGTGCAGCACAGATGGTGAGGTATGTTGATGATCAGGTTGTCTTAGCAGTACAGTTATCTTAGTCCTGCTAAACATTTTAGTTGAATGACCTATTAAAATTGGCTGCCCCAAGGCCAATGAAGAGATTTATAATTAACTAAATATGTTAAATATGAGATCCTCTAGGAAGTTCTGAATATAGACTATTTTCTCATAGCTTGACTTCTAGTTTCTGAAAACCATCCATCCAAGTTAAATCAGGGGTGGGGAAAGAATGAAGTATAAAGAGAGATTAGGAAAATATGTGCAAACAAAATGACCTCAAAATACTAAGAGGAGTTACAGGGTGAATTGAAAAGAATGTTTAGGAGGGAGCATTCATTTAAAAAGGCTAACTTAGCTCTAGCTGCCATCTTGCGTCCCCGCGTGTGTGCGCTTATTCTCAGCTGGTCTGCCCAAGACCCCCTGAGCGCCAACCCTAGTCCCCCTTGCGCCCCCCATTTCCTCTCCAACAAGATGAAAGAATCTATCATGAACCAGGAGAAACTCACCAAACTGCAGGCACAAGTGCGCATTGGTGGGAAATGAACTGCTCGTAGAAAGAAGGTGGTTCACAGAACAGCTACAGCAGATGATAAAAAACTTCAGTTCTCCTTAAAGAAGTTAGGGGTAAATAATATTTCTGGTATTGAGGAGGTAAATATGTCCACAAACCAAGGAACAGTGATCCACTTTAACAATCCTAAAGTTCAGGCATCTCTGACAGCGAACACTTTCACCATTACAGGCCATGCTGAGACAAAGCAGCTGACAGAAATGCTACCCCGCATCTTAAACCAGTTTGGTGCAGACAGTCTGACTAGTTTAAGGAGACTGGCTGAAGCTCTGCCCAAACAATCTGTGGATGGAAAAGCACCACTTGCTCCTGGAGAGGATGATGACGATGAAGTTCCAGATCTTGTGGAGAATTTTGATGAGGCTTCCAAGAATGAGGCAAACTGAATTGAGTCAATGTCTGAAGAAGATAATCTTGAAGAAGTTACTGGGAACTGCTATTTCATATTATGACTGCTTTTTTCAAATTTTGTTTATAGATCTGATAAAATCTAGATCTCTAATATTTTTTAGCCCAACCCCCCTGGACATTGCAGCTCTTTACAGTTTTTGCTTATACATAAATCATTCTTTGCAGCTAATTAAGCTGAAGAGGCCTGGGAATAAAGTTTGAAACAGGTTAATAAAGTTCTTTGCCTAGTATAGTTTTATTTTGTATTTCATTGACATTGTACACAGAAAACAAAGTTTGTAGAAAGCTAATCATGGCATTTAATTAGACATACTCTTTGATGGAATTTTATTAAAGATTTAACATGATAGTATAATGTAAAAAAATAAAATAAAATAAAAAGGCTAACTTAAATTTGAATTATGTAAGATAGTTTCCTTATACAACAGGATCTATGAAGAACTAAAAATGTGCTAACAGATTATGACTTCTCCACTATTTCTATTCTATAGGAGACAAGCTAGTAGAAAAAAGCACTGGATTAAGAGTCATGGTAACAGAGATCTTGTATAACCTTAACCATGCCATTCATACTTTTGGAGTAACAGTTTATTCACTTATAAAATGAGAGTGAGAAGATGGTCTAAATTCTCTTACAACTATTAAATTTTGCTTTACAGCTCACTACCCCAGACCTCCAATTTTATGATCAGGAATACTTTAAACTTACTGAGAAGCCGTAAAACTGTGCTAAATGCTCAGTCTCTAGAGTTACAGAGACTTATTTTAATTTTGCCTCTATCACTTACATCTACATGGCCTTCTTCCTATCATTATTGCTCAATATTTATTGAGTCTTGAGGTCCTTTTCTATAAAAATGGAGATGATAATAGAATTCAACATTAGGTTTATTAGGTTTATTTTATTCATTGCACTTATTACCTTCTATTTTACTTGTCATCTGTAAGGTCCATAAGAGTAGTGATTGCTGTCTGTTTTATTCACTGATGTATCCTAAGAATCTTAACACAGAGTATAGTCACTCAATATTTGTCAGATGAATAACTGAATAGAACAATGCATATAAAGTGCTTAGCATAGTAATTGGCATATAGCATTTGATAAATGATCTTACAAATAGTTTTATTAATACTTAGAGTGCCACTTCACTATGAAGAAGGAGGAATGCTTCAAAGAGAAGATGAAGGGGACTGAGGAACATACTGTTGTTTCCAAATATTTGAGTATCACATGTTACTCCCCCCCCCAAAAAAAATATGTGTGTGTGTGTGTGTGTGTGTGTGTGTGTACATACATACATATATATGTATATATATGATCCTAGAGGTGAAAACTTCAGGGAGTTATTTTTTAAATTCAGAGTAAGGAAGACTTTTCTAAAGAAATTGCTCAAAGATTAAATGTACTGGTACTCAAGTCGATGTTTAATTATTATTAGGCAATCAATGAAGGGATTAAGAAGTCTAATTAAAAATTATCAAATCATTATTCCATGAATTAAATAATTTGAAGAGAATGTCTTATAATCAGCACATACAGAATAAATTTAAAATATATGAAATACTAAATTTTGTCCTTGTGGTGCTCTTGGCAATAAAAATACAGATGGAAAGTACCAAATATAGTGTCAATCAATTTTTCTGTGTACATGCAATCAAAATTCATCTAGTTGTTGGCAAATTATGGCTGAAAACAAATGCTGCTGATTTGTCTTATTAATGTTGGCCCAAAAGTAGATAGGAGACACAAAATCCCACTCCCTATCAGAAAGGCAGGACTGTATAAAGCCAGCTTTTTCTTTCCTGTTTTTTTACCCCAGGGGCAAAACCACACTTTGGAATTTAAGAATATTAGTAGTGGGAATGTTCCTGGGTCATATGAAACTAACTGGTGCATCAGTCTTGCCAACTAGGGATGATTTGAGGTAAAATGTATATATGACATGGATGGAAAGGGAATCTCATCCGATATCACTTTTATTAAGGATAGTAGCCTCATATTAAAATAGTACCATCAATCTGTTGCCATCAGATCAGACACAAAAGGATTAGGAACATAAAGTGGCTATCATAAAATATAACCAAGCACAATCAACATCTGATCATAGAAGGTCAGTTAAGCATTTGGAATATAAAGAAACCATGCTTTTTTTGTTTTATTTTTAATGAGCTATCAAAAATTAATAACAAGTGAGTTGGCTTTCTATTTTGGACAGTAATATTAAGAAAGATGCAGTGATTCTGAAAGTTTTCAATATTCTTTTTTTTTTTTTTTTGGTACATGCCCCTAGCGGGAACTGAACCTGGGACTCTCTGGTCCACAGGCCGACGCTCCAACCACTGAGCCAAACTGGCCAGGGCAAGTTTTCAATATTCTTTAAATTCACTGCCTATTGAGAAAAGATATGTGATAACATGATAACTTTTTCAAGGTATAGAATGGTGAACTGTATTCACACGTTCAAGCTATGGCATTGTCTTATTGATTGCAATGGTTACTTTTATGTGATAACTTGACTGGGACATTGGGTGCACAGACATTTATGTGGCCAAACATTATTCCTGGTGTGTCTATGGGGGTGTTTCTAGATGAGATTAACATTGGTATCTGTAACCTGAATAATGCAGATTGTTCTCCCTGATGTTAGTGGGGCACATCCAACCAACTGAAGAGCTGAATAAAACAAAAAAGCTGAGTCAGAGGGAACTCCACCTGTCTGGCCACATGAATTGGGACACTGGTCTTTTCTCATCTTCAGATTTAAACAGCAACATTGGCTTTTAGATCAGAACTATAACATGTGCTCTCCTGGGTCTTTTGCTCTATATACTCACACTATGGTTTCTGCTTCTCCTGAGAACCCTGAAGAATACACTGATTCAACAGCATCAGCAGGGAATGAACTTGGTTGTGCCAATCAAGTGGATTATCCAGATCATTAAAGTCAATCCTGTAGAAGTTAATCTTTAGAAACTTGTCTGGTCACAATGTGGGTGATCAGGCAATGTAATAACACTTTTGTTATATAAAATAATGAACCAATTTTCCAATGCTTAAAAAAATTAATTCTAAAAGCAATTCCTTGCTTTCAAACCCCAAATTCTATAATTCTAAAACAAGCTGATGTAGCCATTCTCAAAATCAGTTTCAAAAACAACAGCAAAAAGTTTGAAATGTGTTTACTTCCCTAGAGAATTATGCAAGCATTTAAGAATCCATCTCATTTCCTCATAGTCATTTATTGGAGGACTTAAAGACTCATCATCTTTTATTCCTGTTGTCATCATTAATCAGCACATGGCATATGTACTTGTTTTTCATGATTATTTCAAGGCTTTGGTGTTTTATATTTAAGCTCTATTTCCACTACACAGATTAAACTTCCAAAGCAACTACCCTTGTGCACCTAAAGATACCCCTTGAAGCTGCCCAATTCTTGGTATTACCTCCATGTAAATTTTCTTATTGTCACTCACCTGCCCAGAAGCAGAAATTCTCCAGCTAGACCCAGGCGCCTCATGGCCATCAACAGTCCTCGCACAGTCATGCCTTCACAGAAGCAGGCTACCACCCGAGCCTTGGGCAAGTGACTCCTGAGCTTCTTCAGCAGCTTATCAAAGCTCTGCTCCCCCGCATTGCTGTAGATTTTGTAAGAGTGAGCAATGCAAATTCCTTCCTTGGCTGACATATCTTTGAAAGCTTCCATCCCACTTTCTCCGTAGTTGCCTGTGTAAAGACAGATAAGCAGAGGGGTAGTAAAATGGGGGTGTTGGATTCACTGACACAATGAGAAGGCAGAAGTTCTGGGAGCTTAGCAGGTAACATGATAGTTTTGGATTTGGAACCTGAAGACCTGAATTAGTTTCTGCTCATTTACTGATTTTGTTCATTGAGGCAATTTACAATAAAACTATATTATACATGCATTGCATTGAACTTTTTAAAAAAATCCTCACTGAGGATATGTTTTTACTGGTTTTAGAGAGAGAGAGAAATATTGATGTGAAAGAGAAACAGCAATCAATCAGTTGCCTCCCATATGTGCCCTGACCAGGAATTAAACCCACAATCTTTTGGTGTACAGAATGATGCTCCAACCAACAGAGTCATCTGGCGAGGGATGCATTGCACTTTTAAAAAATTTTCATGGAGAGAGAGAATAATTTTAAGAGTACAAGCAATTCAGCTCCCCCTTTGACTCAAAAAGGTTATATTCTAGTGTGAGAAAATGAGACATTTATCTTCTATTTGTTTCTTCTATTTTACTTCCCGTTAACGTCTCAATGTTTGATAATCTCACTCCTCTGATTTAGATTTTGTATTTAAAGATATAGTGTGTGTATATATATATATATATATATATATATATATGCAATGCATATACTTTATATAGTATAGAAGTTGAAAAAATATCTAATAGCATATTACATTTTTAAAATATCATGCATGATATTTTATTAATAATCATGAGACTTTGTAGTTTCATTTCAACTGAAAAATTCAGATCTTTGAGATTTAGTAATGTCACAGATAAATGTATAAGCTTATGAAAAACAGTTAATGTTTTACTCTATATAACCACAGGAAAGTTAATAATGTTGGGGAATAATTGCAAATCCCTTTGAAAAATTTGAGGTCTTTTAAAATTAACAGAAAATGGGGATCAATATTGACAATCAACTATACATTGGGAAGTATAAGACCTCTGTATATATGATCACATTTAACTCACAACAACATTTTGAGGTATGCATTACAACCTCTGTGCTACAGATAAAAAAGTAGATGAGGAAGTTAGGTTTACACTTGCCCAGAGTTACACATGCAGTTGGGTGGCAGGTTTCACTCTATTAACAGATCTAAGAGCAAAGATTCTGCTCCCTGCATTCTTCTATGGCTGACTTTTAGGAGACTCCAGAAGCTCAATTATATCTGCATTTACCTTTCCCATTTAAAGATCATTATGCTTTAATTTTAGATAATTTTTGAGTCTTTTAAGGTATAACTCATACTGGGCTCATTTTCTGAGTTTTCAAAAAATTAGATGGGCGAGGGAAATTGATTTGAAGAATACAGAAGACTATTACGTGACCCAAGCCATGGGACATAGAAAGATGTAACAGGTCTAACAATCAACTAGATCTAAGAACTGGAACTTCATCAGGAGTATATCTCAAATAAGTGATAGTACAAGGTATTCATTTGCATAGGTTTCACTATATGACTATATTAGAAATAACTTACAAAGAACTATACCTGTATAACATTCTGACTTTGGGAAAGTCAGCTCATATATATTATCACAAGTCAGTGATAAAAGTAACATTATTTTCCCCTCACAGCAGATAAATTTGAAGTGGCATTTAGCAAGTAGGCGTCAGAGTCTTGGTTTGTATATATATTTTCTCACTCCTGACCCTGTGTGTGCTTCACTATACACAGGTACCTTCTGCAAATGAGATCTACAGACTTTGAGGGTGGATTTTTGTGCAGTTTTAAAGGGCAAAGCAGAGCAGGTCATTTTGAGGCCCAGCCAAAAACACTGGTGGGCCAGCTGCATCTTTTTTCCTTTGAATTAAAGAAACAAGGAACTTCTCTGATGATGGTAGGTGGGCAATGTAGTTCTTTTGCAATTAACAAAGTCAAAAGGCTCTCTCTCTGAAAAATGTGCCAAGGACCTAAATTACTAGTTTTAGACTAATTTGAGTAATATATTCTCTGATTTATTTTTAGGCAACTCTGTTTTTAACTGACAGTCTTGAACTTAATGTTTTAATTAATACTGGGACATTTGCATAAATAATTTCACATACATTGTGATGACATTAAAGAAAATTCTCAATACATTCACAGTTAAACAAGATAATATACCTGAAAAATTCATAATCTTTAGCTCCTCTCCTAATAGTATTTGTTTTAACATTGTTTTTTTTAATACAGCAAAGAATGAGAACCTAATGCATAAAAATATAAAATAAGTCTGGTATTATTTTTTCTTTTATTATGAAACACAGTAATCCTGAAACCCATGACAGCATGATTAATCCACATTTATTCCAAGAGTAGATGCTCTAACCTAAGACTATATGAGTCATTTCTAGTATACCAGAAATGAAGCAGCATCCACAAGATGTCACAGATCTAAGAGAACTACTCCGAGTCCAGTTAAATTTCCTTCCTCCTGTCAAATGACCTTCCACTTCCTGAATCTTCAATATCAAGCTCAAGGGATTTCTTTGCAACATTCTCTCTAACCCTTTTATGCATTCCCTCCTTTGTACCTCATCGGATCTCACAACAGAATACTATCTTTACTTTTCTGTGCTCCTTCCTACTGGACTGTATATACCTTCATAACATGAATGGTATTTACTTTTGTATTCTAATTCCTCACCAGGACCTGGAAGACAACTAACACAAGTTGAATAAAGAATAAGTGAATTTGCTCGGCTGGTGTGGCTCAGTGGTTGAGCATCAACCCATGCATCAAAGGGTCACCGGTTTGATTCCAGGTCAGGGCACATGCCCAGGTTGTGGGCCCAATACTCAGTGGGGGGCACGCAGGAGGTGGCCAATAAATGTTTTCTCTCATCGATGTTTCTATCTTTCTCTCCCTCTCCCTTTTTCTCTCTCTAAAAACCAATAAAGAAAAAAAACAAAAACAAAAAAGAACAAGTGAATGCATGAACAATAGAAAGTAATAAATACCTACTGGGAATTTTCCAATGAAAGAATTGTCGAATCGGAATTGCAGCATTTGTGTCTAAAATATACCAACTCTAATGAGTGATTATATAATATTTCACTTAAAACTTGAAGAACAGAATTGTGCAATAGTCAACACATCTGACTTTTATTTGTCCTGAAGACTTCAGTGTTTCTCTGGATAAAACCTTACAATATCTCAACCTCAAATGTAGTTGCTTTCACGAGTACTAGCTGACCGATGTTTTGTCAGCAGGGATCTGGATGTATCTGCCTCTACTGGAACATAAAAGTAAGACTTGCTACAGAGTAACTTTAAATATTTCTTCTAACCTAAGAGAGATTATTTATTTGAACTTTATGTTTAAAGGCAATAAACGATTCTTTAGTATGTAATACATAACCATAGACAAGTGCTGTTTCTGGTGGTACCAACTCACTATCAGTAACTGCTGTGCTTTTGTGGCTTAAAAATACTTTCAAATAAATGTAATAAAGTATGATAACATAGAATATATCTAGTAAGGGAGATATTTTTCTGGCAAAATATCCACTGGAGATATGGTTCAAACTTATAAATCTTATCTGTTTTGGGGAAAATGATCATAAGAATAAAAATAATAGAGTCATAATGAAAACATACAAATAATTTTCTTTTCTCTGACATTAGTTTTTTGTTTTTTTTTCATTGTATTTCCACTTCTCCCACAATAATTAGACCTCAGTATTCCTTGCATAGGAGCTGATTGTGGTGATATAACCTCTTATCAGCTCTGATCTTTTTTTCACATTTTACCTACTGTTATTTGGGAGGTTTTAGTTCTTACTAGGCTCTTCCATATGTACCTTAGATATCCTACATGTTCCCCCTTATTACTTTTATTCATGATGTTCTTTCCACCTAGAATACCTTTTCCCCATTTCTCCGTGTTGAAACCTTATCTGTTCTTTCTGGCCTGACGTAAATGTCCAGACTGCAAACTTATTTAGACTGTAGACCATATCTCCTTAGGGCCGCCCAGCAAATGCTTATGGAACTAAACTGACCTGCTCTACAGGGATAGTGTAATACAGTTACTCATTTGATAGATAGCAACTAATTATGGGTATAATATTAGACACATGGTAAACTCCAGATATTTATACATTTTAGCCATTCATCTATTTTATAATACTGAAAAGCATAATTTTTGTACTTATCGCTAGAAAAGTTTTACTGTGTTTCACTTACCTTTATGACAAGGCTGATCATCCTGATTACTTATTTGGTATTGAGAACTTGATTAAAAATATGATCCACAATATTAACATTTTTCTTTAGGAAAACATAAACCACTTTATATAATGCATTTTCATCATGGGATTTCTAAGGAGATCTCCCTGAGTCAGATGACAAGGTAGGGTGCTATTATACTGTATTAGAGTTCATTTAAAGTATATATTCTGTATTTCATATTATGTACATATATTGATATGTAATATGTTGTATGTATTTGTTATATTTTGAATATATTTACATATTCTACTTTCCGAAATACACCTATTTAACTATGTTTATCATCACATAGTAGGTAATCAGGGATTTCTTGAACAGAAAAGGTGGTGCTAAAAGATAGGAGAGAGTAAAATTTTAGAAAGGTACTTTTTTCTGTGTGCAAATATGATCATCGAGTAGATGCTAAGTATTTAAAAAGTATTCTTTCAGAAAATATTCACTTTAGGAAATAATTCACTTTAAAGAAAGGAATTAAACTTGGCCTTCCATACTAGGACTTTTATTCCTTTTAGTTGGGCCAAATTATCTTTTGTCAAAAAGAAAAAGAAGATTCTCAATATAAACAGTAATTTAAAAATGCATTTCAAATGGTTTTTACTATAATATCCGGTTACTATTATAAATAGTGCATTTTATTAACAACTACTAGTGAAGGAAAATGCTTCCATTTCTCATGGGAGTTACTGCCTGGTATGATACCATTCCCCCAAAATATTCGTGGGTAAGATCAATAAACCAGTGCCCA